CAAGTGATAACTCATATTTTCTGATACGTTCATTATAATGACCATGCATCGAATTGACGAAATCTAGATTTAAAACGAGATCCATTTAATATCATCTTACACATGCATGTGTAGGTAGCCCGTAAAGTGATTTCCTGATAGTAGTACAACAACTGAATCACTTTAGGTAAAAATAATATATTTATTATAAACAATTGATTGGAGAAATACAACAAAATCAGGGAGCTCTCAAATCATGGCCTGCACCTGGCTTGGCGGAAACGCGGGAAGAGAGCGAGATATAGGCTTCCGAGCCCGAACCCAATTCCAAATTAAAAACACCCCCCAAATACACTACATTCCCCCCCATTTTGTGGAGGAATGTCCCAATTCCGACAAAGTGGAGGCCATTTACAATATAAAATCACATAACACTTTTACACAAAAAAGATAATTACCTCCTGTAATGTACAACGAACAAGCTAATTACATGATAAAATATTCACAAAATATCTTTTAAACATTGACTGTCCAAATCATGATCACGATTGGCTCTATACAAAGAAACAGTTCTCCACAGTTCTTCCTGACCATCTGCTACTGGCGGTATTGGCGAACACGCCAGCACGGATCCTCCCTGGACTTCAAACACAGGACATCATCAGAAAATCTAGACTAGGACAGCAAGCATCAACTTAATCATAAAGGCAAAGAGTCACCTGATAATAGCCCCGCTCTAAGAGCAAGGGGCATGAATCTAGCATCTAACTAGTCTGGTGGAATCGATTCCTCAAGCCCAGTACAATGACACTTTGTGGTTGTGCACATTGTTTGCCCCGGGCCTGCAGGGGCCTGGGGTCTATTCAGCGGCTCTGACTTGTCCTTACCAATGCCCGTAAGTCGTTCCGGGCACTCACGACGGAAATGCCCAGGCTGATGGCATTTAGAGCAACAACCTCTCCGGCGGTTTTGTTTGCGTTTCCAGGGGAAATCCTGTCCCTTGCCTTTGGGGTCTCTTTGGTCATGCCTACCTCCTGACTTGACACCTGAATTTCCCCTCTGTGGCTTCCAATTTTTGGTCTTCCAGGACCCCTTACATGGAGCTTGTGGGGGAGACTTTTTCTCCACGCCTGACGGTGTACTGCCTAACGAGACAGAGCGCACAACTCTGTGTTGAGGCGTAAGGGCTTGACGGCTTAGCTGGTAAGTCTTTACTCTCCTCACAGCCTCATCCAAATTAACAGGGGGGCTGTCGATTAGCCGTCTGCCTGCGCGCACATCCGTGCAGCCCATCGCAAACCGCAGGACTGCTTGCTCCTGGAGCACTTGTCCCGATACTCTAGCCCCTAGAGCGCGTTGCGCGGTTTCCATGACACGGTCACCCCACTGCTCTAGACTCTCGTCAGTCCCTTGAGTCATGGAGTTAAACTCCACTTGCGATGCGGCCTGCAATGTACCCTTTCCGAACCGTTGCTCGAATCGAGATGCTATCTCTTGAAAAGTCATATGCTCACCCCGTGAGGAGAGCAGGTAGAAATATCTCAGTGCTGGTCCCTCTACGGAGACACTGAGAGCCAACAGACTATCATCATCATCCCACCTATAATAGCGAGCCAACGTTCTAAATTTAGCGTAGAACAGACCCCACTCAAGGTCTCCAGTGTACCTAAGACTCTTGGCCTCTGCAGGGATAATACGCCAAAATCCTAGCGAGTCACTACGAGATGAATCCAAGAGTATTCCAGGGCCCCCTAAGGGAGAACTTTCCCTGCCACAGAGAGGTGCAACTGATACATTACTCTCCTTTGGCCCAAGCTCCACAACTGCACTCCCCAAAGTGACCACTGGCAAAGCCTTTATGCCTTTCTGACCCCTATCATACATCTGCCCCGATGCAGAACATGAGTGACTCAGAGTCCCGGGGGATTCCCTATTTGCATTTTCATATGCCTCCTGAGGCATAGCGTAATCGGACTTAACCGGAGTTAATGGAACTTGAAAACTAGAGAGGGGATCCCCCCAGGACACTGCCCCCTTACTGGTGTGTGACTGAGTCCTCATGATTGAGGGATGACTACCCCCATTCCCCTGACCAACACTCTGGCCAGGGGAAACCCTCAATGGATTACCGCCATACCCACTTGAAAACAAGACTCTACACGGCCCCTCATTATTTCTCTGTCCCGATTGGCCCCCATATGAGAATACTACACTAGTGCTTGTACATGTAACCTGGGTGCTGCTGGGTACACTAGTTACACAGGTCGAACCACCCGACCTGGGGTTCCCTGTGGGGCTACTCAATGAGGTTACATTGTGCCTACTCACTGCAGTGTTCCTGTTTTTCTCCCTTGCATGAGATTCCAGGGAGTGGTTATCCCCTGACTTCCCTACCAGGATCTGGGTCAGTTGGGCTAATTGGGTCTGAACTCCCTTTAACCATGCCAGAACCTGATCACTGCTCGGAGTAACCCCCAAGCTTTGATGTGGTCCACCCCCAGCTGTCCCAATGTCAGTGGCTGTATCCATACCCCGCCTATCATTAGTCTCCAGGGTAAGGGACATGTCTACCTCCCCAACCACAGTATTATTCTCACCCCCTCTACTGCCCGAAGTGCCAAATACTGGTGGTCTGAACGGAGTTAACCCAGATATTTGGTCTGCCCAACCCGGTTGAGAGCCACCCCGTGCATTTGCATTATGCCCCTGGGCCCATGCCAAACCACCCGGCCTAGCTACCTTGCCCCCCAGGACACCCATGCCACTCATGCGCTCAGGACTCTTAACCTGACCAAATAATTTTTTCTTCTCACTCATAACTCAGGGACAACTGACAACAACTAAAGATCAGCCCGACTTACTGCCCTACATGTAATACACTAATATATCACAATACAACTCACACAGAAAAATTGATTCACAAAAATACATAATCCAATCACTGATTTCTTGCAAATTTCATAACCTGATTCCATTCACCGCCGAAATAATTAATTTAAAACCATAATCACCTCCACGTGGCCTGACCGCGCGGCGTCCCCTGAGCGCCGCTTCGGTCTCGTAAGACCGTCAGAAATCCTACCGGCGACGCCAATAAAGTGATTTCCTGATAGTAGTACAACAACTGAATCACTTTAGGTAAAAATAATATATTAATTATAAACAATTGATTGGAGAAATACAACAAAATCAGGGAGCTCTCAAATCATGGCCTGCACCTGGCTTGGCGGAAACGCGGGAAGAGAGCGAGATATAGGCTTCCGAGCCCGAACCCAATTCCAAATTAAAAACACCCCCCAAATACACTACACCCGCCTTGATTTTAAAACTCGCTCTACACTGAGCATGCTCTAGATCTTGTGTATCGAATTAGTTAGGAGAAATATGTTAGGAGATCAGAAAACTCGGTTCACGATAGAGGATGTAATTAATTGCCTAGCAGTTATTAGGAAATATTTCCATCAATATTTGACTTTATGATATGATCATTTGCTGACAAGGTGTTTGCATCGACCATAGAAATTGCGAAATGATACCCTGTTTTAGAAATTGTTTGTAAGTAGAACATATTCTTGTGTATTGCCACAACTGAGATATATAGCCCCTAATGAAGATAAAAAGTTTATTATGATAATAACCGAGTGAATTTTGCAACTGAAAAAATGAAGTAATCAAATCTTTATTGAATTTATGATATGCTTTATAATCTTTGTTAGTTAGGCCACCACTAACGTCTTGTCCTAGGAAATTATCTAGACATGAAAAAGATATCTCAAACATTGTAGTATTTCAAGATCACTGGAGTTTATCTAGTCGCCGTATGAATAACAATTTTTTTATTGAAACGTTGTCTATATATATATATATCGACATTGAAGCCACAACAAGTGTTTCATCTTATCATGTTCTAGAATCTGAGTGAAATCAGCTTCATATGAAATCAGAAAATGAGTCAGTTTAATAGGGGAGCAAAAGGTACCCTTGGATATTCCCAGAAATTTTTGAAAGACCCGGTCTACAAAAACTACATACATTTGTAGATATTGTCAATCAGGATAACAAGGATCTTTTTAATATGAATTTTACATAAACTGTACCCGTGTCTTTAATCAAATAATGTGTTTAAACAAAATAATTTTCAAAAATAACCAAATCTTTTAACTTTTTTTGAGTTGTGAAGTCGAACACGTATATGCTAAAATTCTGAGCGGTATTCAAATCCTTTAATTTTTCTTGAATGATTCTATTTTTATTCACAGACTATTACAACACGTAAAAAGGCAAAAAAAAAAAAAAGAAGAATTAAGAAAATAAAAAATATTGCAAATAAATATGTAAAAATTTCAGACCATATTTAATTCGCTGACAAAATATATTTTTTGAATAATTGTTCTCGTTAAAGGACCGGGGATTCCTCAGTGAAACAGAATATTTGGAATTTTTCAGAACTTGCGTATATGATAAAAGTATCAAACTCGTGAAAAATTTATTAAACCTAAAACCTTAGAAAATAGTCAAATAAGATTAGCACAATTGTTCATCGCAGTCTAAATACAATATATGCATTTGTTTTATCTTCGTGGACACCGTTTACTTAATAGGCGTTTATTAAAACATTTACATGCAATGTTTTGTTGTGAACGTCTCCGACTTTTTTTTACAGACTATAAAGTTGTTAATGAATATTAAAGAAACTTGATTGCTTTAACATCTCTAAGACATTATTTTGCAGCAAGTGTTCTATAAAGACATGTGTATAACACCAGTCTCGGACACATGTACGGTACTTTATTTAAAGTGTATTGATATATTGATTTGCATGATTACAGTCTTTTACATGGCTTTTCCTTTATTCTACATTACCCAGTAATTTCACAAAGGAAAAAGTTGTTAAGGGTGATAATATTGATATATTTACTGAGTGAAAAACAAACCTTTTAAAAAAATTAAATATATATATTTAAGATATTTCTTTTATTAAAAAGATAAAATAAAACGAATATAAAAATATAAATATCCAAACAATGCATAAATAGATAAAAAAGTGTAAAAAAAAATCATAGAATAGAATCATAGATGTTAATCATTTTTAAAGTCAACACATATCTTGTCTATCGGACTGAATATTCTTGGTTTTCCGTCAGAAGCGCGTTGACATCGACTTTGGAAGACCACGCGTTCGTCCTTACATACGACAAATTCTGGTGATCCCTCTCGCCCTTTCCACGGATTCAACCCATCCGGTGATCCTTTACAGCTGGGAAATCGCACGTGACACGGAATACAGTGAGCTGATTTGCATTGATTTTCTTCATATTCACCTGAAATAGAAACAGGCTAGAGGTAACAAATTGTATGCAATAATCATGGCTCGGTTTAAAATTCTTAGCAATTCATTATCTTATACTACATAGTAATCGAAACATGAATTACAATATTAAGAAAATTGTAAGATTGGATATTTTTCATTGTGTCACATTTTGAAAATTGGAATTGGTCTATCATTATTATTAGTTAAAGAGAGCTACTTACATGCATCTTTAGGTTCGTATCGATTTCCACACTGAACTGTGCTGTAGTGGTGGCATCTCTGAGATTTCTCATCGAACAGAAGTGGATAAGGACATTCCTTGACCCTTGACTGAGCTGTCTTTCCCGACGGTGACTTTTTTGTTTCACAGTCCTTATATTTAGCACAGCTATTAGCATCAACGAACTTCTCGTCAGAATGCAACGCACAGATTCCTTGAGTTTTTTGGAGTATCTTTACACCTAGAAACAGAACCATAAATGTTTAAATTTATCATTAGTTTACTATTACAGTGCTAACTTCGTCCTTATAATGACAGTATTTTAGCCCATTTACGAAAATAAGAAATGCCCCTCTTACATGTATCTTGTGTTGATCCTCTTGGAACACACGATCGCGTGGTAGGGTTAATTACGTAATCCTCTGGACACTTAAACAGAAACTCGTGTCCATCTTTAACGATATAGAATTTAGTGCAATCTTCTGGATCCACCCTGAAATCTAAGTCTGTTCTCTGTAGGGTTGCTGAATCTGCTAAAAACCAGAATGTCGCATAAAAGATCGAAAATAAAATTGCATTCATGACTTGTCTAACACCAGTAGAAAGTTTTAAGAAAGCAATCTTTCGATTCTGATGAATTTCAAATTTGATTACCCATCTGGATGTCTACACATAATATATATAAGAATATACATCCCACGTTATTTGCAGGTTTGTGAGGCGTGTGGTTAGCGAATAAATGATTTTTGTTTATTAAGTGAGTAGGTGCTACTTATAGAACCAATGAAAGGATGAGTAAGTGTTCACTCTCTTTTGCTAATGAAAGGGAACTGTGAAATTCCGACTCTGTTAATTTTTCACCTTGTATACCAGTGTAGGAATTTTAGGTGTTTTCTTTTTATCGGCACGATTTTGGCCACGTTGATAATGGTCTATTTATTGACTCCTTGGTCTCTCAGTTTGTTTCCGCTGTCTTGAAATTTGAAAATTACAATCTTTGTTTTTATGTCATCATTTCATAAGTTCTATGGTCGATGCACTGACCTTGTCAGCAAATACAAATTTATCATTGAGTCAAATGCTGACTGACCTTTTTTTATACTAATTATTAGTCCATAATTCATACACTGAATTGATGACGGATTTTTTTCTTTTATTTCCCGATCATGACAGGGAGCACACGGCGGGTGTGACTTGTCGGCAAGGGATGCTCTCTAGTCCATGACACTTGATCCCAACTCTGATGTTTTGGAGGTCTGTGTTTGCTCTGCTCTTATTATACCCCCCGCTTGAAAAGCGGGAGGGTATATAGTAATCGTTAATTCCGTCAGTCCGTCTGTACGTCCGTCCGTCCGTCCGTCTGTTACGCTTTGGGGTACCCAACTCTTATCCACAACTCCTCTCATACCACTGAATGAAATTTGGTGAAACTTTCACAGAATCTTTATTACATATTGCCATTGTACACCTCCTATTTCACTTTTTGATCCGACAAATATTTTGGGTTTCCCGGCCACAGGAAAACATGGACTTTTTCACCAGTTATAACCATACGGGATGCGGGGGGTATCGTTTAGTGAGCTCCTGGCTGACAGTACCTCTAGTTTTGTATTGTTTCATGGACTTTTGATCTTGAATACTGTTTGTTATCTCCATATATTTCAGTGATAATGTCTAATTAGTGCACCATCAAGCTAAATTGAATGCTCATATAAATAAATATTTTTTTTTTATTCTAATTGAAATGGGGACTTCAGTGGTTCATAAACTAAATGCGATTGAAGGTAGTGTCTTTGAGAAATAAAACAATAAATAACAACACTGACAGACACATAATTAGCCGCCGGTTATCACAGGATAACAATATGATTCATAAAATTGTAGAATTTTATATATGTGCCAAAAGGTGAATCTCTTTTTAACAAAATCCAGTGAGTCAACAAATTTTTCAGTGTCTAACACAAAATGTTGCCTTAATGAGTTGTAGGAGGAATATATTATTTCAAGGATTCCCTAGGTTTTTTTTTTTTAATTTCTAATGTTGAAATCATTCTATTTATTATCACTGCTTTTTGTTTAAATCTGTAATTATATTATGATTTAGAATCCGAATCTTATTCGATTCCTAACGCAAGGTCTCAATGAAAAGCTCATTTCATTACATCGACAAGATAACTACTTGGAATGATAATGAATATTTTAAAGATATTTAAAATTGTTTCTAATGTCCTAAAACATATTAAAATAAATAAAAACAAAAATCCAACACCTTTGGAAAACAAATTTAAGATATTTTGTTTTAGATAATTGACTGAATGAAACAAGAAAACATAAATTTTCAGCAAAGTTAATTTTTTGACATGTTTATCAATTTTGGGAGAAAAAACTTTATAAATTCTGCAAAAATATGCTTTTTGTCTTCATGTAAATTCTTCACTTATAATATTCACACCTTACTATGTTAATAATCAGAACGCAAGTTTCTCATATGGACACTTTTGACCCCTGAATTACTGAAGAAAACAAAAGCTGTTTTGTTACGTAATTAAATAACAGATAGAGTGTCGTGATGAATTGAAATGGTATGGAAACCCCAGGTCATAAAAAAACTTAACTCTTAATTAGAATTTCATTAAGATAGTACACTCAGAATAGATAATGTCATTAAGTATAGAAACCACAAGCTAATAAATAAATATCGGTTAATCAAAATTAATGCAAGATTAGAGCAGAAAATTATATTGTGATAATTAACACAGTTGCTTTAATTATCATTGCATATTTTAAAAGAAAAATTGAGCATTAGGGCTTAAAATATATTCTGTGTCAATCGAACAATTAGATTTTGTCAAACAAATGTTTTTAGACAACCAAAATGAAAATGAAACAGGATTTTAATGAATTATCAATATATATTTTTGAGGAAAAAATAACATCATGATTTGATTGGTAGAACTTTTGCAATTAAGAAAATGCTTAGGGAATTGTCCTTACACAAGAAGCTTAGATAGTCCTTAAAGAAAACGAAGTAGAGAAGAAATTTTGAATATCTCCAACATATTGCCAACTAGAATTATTTATTTAATTCTGTAACCTTTATTGTAAAGGATCTTATGTTTGAAAAGCTTTCAGAGAGTACGATCTTCGTGTGATTTTTTGAATCTCCTAGCTAACAGAAAAATTTTAATTTATATCAGGAAAACAAAAATTTAATCCCTCACCTGATTAAGATTGAAACCTGTTCGCACCTGTTTGTTAATAAAAAAGAGAAAGATTGTAATAAATTAACATGACAAATGAAAAACAAGATATCAAAAATCAAATTTTGAATTATTGTAAAAATTAATAATTTTTAGATTGTGTTTTAATAAGTTTCATCGATGAAATATTTACATTTAATAATTAGATAGGGTATGCGCGTCTTGACAAAGGGCTAAATAATGAGTCTGTTTAATTGAAGTATTTTCCATGAATTACTGATGCACGTAACGTATTACAGAAAAAGGTATTTTCCGTAGTTGAATTTCAAATTTGACGATTTTAAGAAATGAATGAAAGATAGTGAAATAACTCAAAATTCCATTTTATAATGCAAATCTGAGCAGAGTAAAAACAGATTTCCAAAAAAACAAATCAGGGGTTGGATCAGGTGCCATGGAGGAGTGAACACCCCCTGCTGGTCACACACGCCGTATGCTCCTTGTCATAAATGGGAAATAACGGAAAAATCAGTCGACAATTCAGTGTGTTTATCATGGCCTAACAGTTGGTTTAAAAAAAAAACTTCATCAAGCATTTGACTTAATGATAAATTGTATTTGCTGACAAGGTAATTGCATCGACCAAAGCACTTACGAAATGATTACTTTAAACTAGAATGCTAATATATTTTTTTCAGCAATATGTCTGGCTATAATTTACCTCGTATTTGACATTGCTTATACGTACATCATGTTCTTGCGTATCGAATCAACTGAGAGATACAAACCCCGTATGCAGGTGATGAAAGTATATTGTTGCATTAGTAAGAAAGTTGATGATTGAAAGTTAAAGTCATCACTTTTATCTCTAAGCTTGTTAGTAAATAACTAGTAACGTTTTTGAGTGGAAATCTAAAATTGAAAGAAATGTTTTGAAGTCAAGATCTGTGGTATCTTTTAATTCATCCTCACCGGGATATTTCGTGTCGACATAAGAATCGAAATAACCATTGTTAATTAGCAATACGTCACTGATATATCTGAATATTGAGTTAAAGTCCACAGTAATCCACAGTTTTCATCTTTTCTCGTAAAAGGTTTATGACAAATTCTGCTTAATATGAATTTCAAAAATATGCCAATTAATAAGGAGATGCAATTGGTACCCAGTGGAATTCCAAAAGAGCCACCATCTATAAAACAATCATTTTAACCTGGTCTCTAAAAACACATAGATATTGTCAGTCAGAAACTCGAGCATCTTTTTAATATCAACTTCAGAGTGTACTTCTGTGAACAAGCAGATTGTTTTATAGTAAAATAATTTTGCAAATGACCAATGACGAGGTAATAAGTTTACAAGTTCCATTTTATTTTTAAAGTCATTTGTTAATGGTATCAAAAAGTCTAGACTTTAATTTACCGCGAGGAATGGTGGTGTACAATAATGAAAGTCATAAGTTTTTATGCTGTTTATTTTGGTATAATTTTGTGATTTCAATTTTAACTTTTTCCAAAAATTGCTTTGAATCTTAAGTATAAATATCCAATTAGCACGACTTCTCAAATACATTTTTGCACAGTACTTCTGATTTTTTTTCTGCACAATTGTTAATACTTTAGTTAGGTGTAAAGAAAGAGGCTTGGTATGTCATTTACTGGAACCCGCTTTGTATCAGTTTTTGTAAGGAGTTTCAGAATCCATTATAGATTTGGTAATTTAAATTCATTCTGGTTATAAGAATATCAGCTAGGGCCTGGACACACTGATCATGTAATCTTTCGAAATAATTTTTCCCCTTCTGAATAACGATATAAAGTAACTTGTAAAATGACTTTCTATGTCAATGCATGATCACAAGTAAAACCGTGTGAAATATTGGTATGACCAGTATTTCCTGTATAAATTAAATGCACCGTCTCAATATGGATTCCTTAGAAAATGCTATACAGCCAAAGATTGAATTATGAAATATTCCATTTGAGCAATAGATTTAGTTCCAATGTATATATATTACATATTTTTAAGAGTGCACCTTGTTGAATTGATAATAATTTACTGTTGGAGAATGACGAAGCCTCATACGTCAGCATAGAGGATAGATCTGAGCGTTTGAAATTTATGGTCAAGAATTTATGATGCCGATAGCTAAATTGATAAAATGATCTAAACCAACTCGTTTCTATATTGGTTCTGCACTTCATAATGCCTTCATCGTCCGGATTACAAAGAAATTGTTCAAAGACCCCCCTCTCTCTTAAAGTTTATAAGACGCTAAAGAATTTTTCTGCTTTATTTTACGTTCTCTTCTGTTCAAAAGATTAATTAAAAACGTTCTAAGCAATTTTATACATGCGGAGATTTTGACTAAGAACCTGATGTTTAATTTTATGATTTTATTGTAAATGGGAAAGTGGAGTGGATGCT